ATTGTACTCCAAGCTCAGACATGCAGTCTGTTCAGTACTCAGAGTGAAGCTCAGTTCAGCAGCAGTCTTTCCCCTATTCCCCCTCTGCAGTAGTAAGGTTTCTCATTACTCCCCATTAGAGATAGGAAGTTCGGATCTTTCATAGGAATCGGTTCATTTGAATCAGTTCATTCAAAAGAACCGATTCATGAATCGAATCTTTGGTTCACTTGCTGAGTCGGCTGACAAGCAAGTGCACCGACGTGCCATCAGGTGTGACAGTAAAAAGCGTGTTATTGTGGATGCGCTCCGCTTTCTAATGAGCTGATGTCACATTGGTCAGATTTGTCCCTAGTCTTTACAGCGCAATAACGATTGGATTTACTACCACGGGTACTGCATCGATAGTACTAAAATCCTCTCATTATTCCCACCCATGCGCTGTAAAGACAAGGGACAAATCTGACTACCACTGAACATCACTTCATCAGAATGAGGAGCACATGCGCAGGAACACGCTTTTTTACTGTCAGCTGATCGTGCGTCACTAGCAGTGATGACATTGGGTGATATGATAGAATGGCTGGTCTGACATAAAACCAAATATGTGACCTGTCTGAGCCAAGACACTGATCACTAGAACAATCCCCAGGAGCTGCCCCCCTTCTCTGAATCAGAGTCTTCTGATTCAGATCTTTTATGAAGAGTCAGCCAGCTCCTGAGCTTCGGTTCACTTGCGACTCAGCAAGTGAGCCGTTGGATATGGATGTCACCAGCACTCCAGAAACGACAAAATAACAAAAGATTTTAGTGAATCTTCATTTTATTCACTCGAAAGGAATCAAGCGCTTTCGGGGCCGCACAGGGTCCCCTTCATCAGGCTTAAAGTGAGCCGACTCAGCAAGTGAACCGAAGAGCCGATTCATTTGAAGATCCGAACTTCTCATCTGACTCACGAGTCTTAGACTCCATGTACTGTGAGTCAGAGCTGTTAGAGGGTTGTAGCTAGTTCAGAGATGTGATTGGTTGCAGGGAGGGGGTGGGCGGGGCTGGCAGAAGCTGAGCTCTGCTCTAGAATCACATTACAATGCCGATCTCCTATTCAACACTGAGCTGCTTCAAACGGATCAGCTCACTCAGAGGAGTTGATTCATCCGGTTCACTGAAGAGAATCAATTTTACAATAGTCTTTTACAATGGTAGAAATGACCTTGCATAACACTTGCCATAATTAACTTATGGGAAAATTGACTTTTTTGTATGTTGGATTGCGCTAGGTGTATTGGGTGCATAGGTGCATTGGCGTGTCATTAAAAATGAATAGTACCACACTGCACATAACAGGTTGGTGCAAGTCAGGCATTTTCCTTGCACATTACTGTAACACAATAGTGTGAATGGGCCACTAAGCTTACTTGGTATCCCCTTTACTAACCAGTTTGCCTCTTATGGACCTGAGCAGCTATGGACCTATAGTTTGGGCAATCATTTTGTCATTACATATTTTGTGTTCTATTTCTTTTTTTGTTGGAGGGTAAATGCTTTCTTTTATTGACATTGTCTTTCAATAATTTTTTGTGTGAAATCTGGTTATTAAGGGTAACATCTCTACTTCAATCGACTTTAGGTCCACCAGTCCTTCATGCTGCTTCCATTAGAAAATATGGTGGTCCAACCTCCAAACTATTTACCTTGCTCCTGGAGAGGCATTCTCAAGAGTCTGGCCAGCACTGATTATCTACCTCTACCTCAGGAGAGAGTTAAGTATGTGGGGGGTTAGACCATTCAAAATATTTGCTCATAATAAATGCACTATAATATTGCTGCACTGGGCATGATGGGTTGTCTATTGTTATTGTAACTTTCCTGATGCCATTACATATGTATCACGCTATGCTCACCTCAGTTGTATTTGTTATATTGCATGTTATTACATGTTAATTCTAGCTGGGATTCTTGAAATGCTATTTTATAGCATTGTGAACGACCCCCATTCCATTGACTTAAATGAAAAAAGACCAGCCAATAAACCAAAAATTTAGCAAGTGGGACTCTTATGAGAAATGCCTCAGTGCACAGCCTGTGAAGGTAATATAGCTGTGGGAGGGGCCCAGAAGGTTCACCCACTACTGGCCGCCTATAGAAAACAACAAGGTGAGACGGATACAAGACCAGTTACCCTGCACAAGGAGAGAGAACAGCAGTGACTAGTCTTTATATTAGGAAAGACCTGCATAGAGGAAAAGTGTAGGAGTTGCATTTTATGCTGAATTACCACACAGATCTGGGAGAAATACACATAGCACACCAAGATTCAAGTAAGAATACAAATGGCTCTTATTTATACAATATTCATTTAGCCAGACGTTCAGGCTTTAAAACTATGGATTTGGATAAGTCCATTCTTTTGCTTAAAAAATGCAACAAACAGAAAAAACTCTCTACTGTAAATACGCTCTTAAAGGTACCTTAGGAAATTCGCTAGCTCTGCCCATTATGGTCAGATCAGGTAATGTTCATATGTTTGTTGGCATTCCCTGATCCCCCCGACTCAACCTTCTCCTTTGGAGAGTCAATAAGCCAAGATTGATTTTTTTTCTAGTAGATCACTATTGTTTTTCTCAGACATGGGCATACATGTTTGCATATGACACAGAATATCAGACTGAACATGTGCTTTGCTCATGAAGGGCAAACCAACAGGTTTAGTTTAACCACAGCTAAACAAGCTGCAGATATTCATCTTCCTTTCACTCCTTTAAGAAAGGAATGTATGTAGGTAAACTTTTCCCACCTCATATGATACTGAGTTCTGACAATGTATGCACATTTAAATTTTATACTACTGTATATCACTTGCTGATAAATTGAGCAATGTTTTCAGAGAACCTCTGTGCAGAACAGCAGCTTTTTGCTTCTTGTTGGAAAGCGTTCATGCAGCTACAGCAGGAAGTGGATTATGGGTGTGAATGATTCCTTTCTTAATGATCAGAAGCATACATAATTAGAATAGCACTGAATGGGTTGGCTCAAGGCTTGCTTAATTAGAAAGGGTGCCATATTAAAGAAAATCTATCAGCCCTTTGAAAACTTTAAAAGTAAAGGTTAAGTCTTAAGGTTAAGAGCAGACACATCATGATATCCACTGCTACTAGCTAAAACCCTCCTATGTGAAACCATCTCCCTTTTAGAAATGTTTTTTTATTGGTAGAGGTGCTCCAGACACTGACCAAATGTATTTTTACACCCCCAGGCCTTATTGACATTAGCACACTGAAATAAGTGTTGATTTACTAAAGGAGTAGAAGCTGTTCACTTGGCAAAGTGAATGTTCACTTTACAAAATGTATGATCAGTTAGTTTAGCAAAGAAAGCAAAGATGTGTTGACTACCCAATCATGAACATACACTTTGCAAGGATAACATACTCTATTTCAACTCCACGGAGTCTCAAAATAAGTTTACAACACAGATGTCAATACAAAAACATCATTTATTGCTTGTGATGGGTCAAAAGCTTAAATAGACATTAATAATCATATAACCAAATAAATATATACAAATAAATTATTAGTTTTTACAAAAGATCACCAAGCATTACAACGTACAAAATTTGTGGGATATAAAACATTTTACATTCCTCTTGTTTCTATAAACTGGTACACACAACATTACGAAGAGAAAAAACAAAACAAATACATTCATTTTCAATTGTTCTTGACATGACAGTACATAGACAAAAATATACTTATAGAGCATATCAAGTTTCTGTCAGTCAATAGAAAAATAGTTGCTCAGTATAAATATTAACTAAGTTCAGCTACATAATTCACATCAATACTGATTGGCTAGATACAGTACTTAAAATGCCATGAACACTGACCCGCAGGATATAAATTATGGGAGCAGTAACAGCCAATAAGAGATTTGGCTCCATATTCTAACATGTACAACACTAGTCTGGTCCCCAACCAGTGACTGAAGTCATTGCTTTGTTATTGTCTCTTAGGTCTCTTAGCAAGTGCTCTGTAAATCTGACAAAACATGTGAGGTGATTGTCACGCAATCTGGCTAATTGTGGTCAGACTGGGAGAAAACCTCATGTCCCTGACCAGCAGCAGACATCCCCAGTCCAAAGACCTTTGAGCCAACAGAATTATTATTATTACATGTTTCGGAGTGCTATTTTTTCATTCTTTTTGTCTTGGTCACTTGCTATTCATAGAGGAGGTTTACAAGTTGACAAAAGTCAGTTATTTCACTTCAAGGTCAGTTCCCTTTTCTAAGCTTATGCATGGTTCTGTTAATATGACATACATGATAAAGCAATTAAATGCAAACATTGATCACAGCAGCTGACATATTTGCTGACATATTTGCTTCAGGCTGTAGACTTTGGTCCATAGGGCCCATATTTCCAAGATACTTGTGTAGGTTCACAGAGTTCAGGAGATATTTCTTCTGTTTACAGGGCCGGAGTAAGCTTTGCATTGAAGCTCATCTTTTTTATCAGTTAAATAGTCCGGTGCTCCTTAAGGTGTAGAAGTTTTGGCTCTATAAATGCAAAGAAAGTATATTGAAATGTTATGCATCTTTGGAGTTACAATTTCAGTATCTTTACATAACTGATTATTCCCATAACACATCCTAATTTTTTCACTTTCTTTTACCCATTGAAAGAGTAGTAATGCAAACCAGTTAAGGGAAATTATTTGCATGCCTCTTAACTAGCCTTGTAAAAAAAAAAAAAGATTTATCCTATCTCTTTACATAGCTTTCTGAGTACTACAAAGTTATAATGTACATATAATTTTAGAACATCATCTGCAAGTTCGTGATTATGGCCTGCTTGTTTTAATAAAGAAAGTGCCCTATGGCTCCTTCTGTTCATTTTATTTTTAAGGAAAGATAATGGGAGCAGAAAATATGTAAAAATGTACCAGTGCACAGGTACTGTTACATTAATACAGTAAAATATTATAAAGTTCATTAAATGATGTCCCTGCAATGCTTGCAGTGTGCTAACTTGTCTGTGGGCTAAATGAGGTCACACTTGGATCGAAACCAGTGTTTGGTGAAGGGTGTCTGGTGAAGGACATGAAAAGTCATGTCATAGTAAGAACAGGAGGCTGTTTTAATAAAAAGCATTAATACTTACGTATTTAAAAATCTTTCGATGATCCTTATGACCCATGGAGCTGTAGGCTCTAAACACACTTGCAGACCCCTTTTCATGGTGGCTCTGTTGGTTGAGAAAGCAACTATGTCAGACATTTTGGTTGACAAATTATATTATAATACAGTAATTATATGTGTTTCTAATATTAAACATAATTCAGAGTAGAATCACTTTTAATTATTTCATTTTATTTTTTTAGAATGGAATCTAAAATAGAAAGGATCACCTTAATATGCGGCAATTTAAGATATATGAATTTTCCATGTTCTATGAACATTCTGGCTGTGGTCAAACTGAACTATTTTTAGTATTGGTTTAAATACCAGCATACCAAATTGCTCCAAAAAAGCACATGATGGTCTCACTCTTGCCTGAGGAAGGAGTCCTGTGAGGCTCCAAAATGTTGCTTTGTCTCATGTGATGAATAAATGTGTTCTTTTTGAGCAACGTGGTGTGTTAATCATATTAGGACTGACCCAGAAGAAGTACACAGATTAGGAGTTCTAACTTTTGTCTGATTTTCTTTATCTGCATATTTATTCCTAGTCAGTAACACAAAGCATTTTTAAAAAAAGCAGATAATCAGCAAAACAGCCAAGCAACTAGAATTTTTAGAAGAGAGTCACTATTTGCATTTTTTGTATTTCTCTCATGACAGCTTTATTTTTTAAAACATTTTTTTCTTATGTATTTTAATATAAAAAACAACATTGAATAAAAGGAAGAATAAATAAATGTCTAAAAAATGATCAAATTTGCACAATGTATGTACGTACTATGATTTTGTTATATAGCTGTCACAATACTTACATCACTTCCACATGCTTGCAGTGTGGGCCTTTTGGGATCACCTCCAGGTTCAGGAAATGTCTGTGAGATATTGGCTTGCTCTCTGTTTTTACACATTGGCACCTAAGCTCTTGTGCTGATATAAGTGTCCTCCCTGAAAACAAAAACATTGATATATGAATATCACATGAACTATAGGAAAACACAGAAAAAGTAAACACATTGGAAAATGTAAATTGTTTAACAACCTAACAAAACATTTCTCTGTAGATGTTGCCAGTAAGACTTTGTTTTATTTGCCATTTACAGGTTTTCAAATCCAGGTTTAATCTAATTATATTCTAAGTCATTTATATAATAACCTTATGTGATAAAATAATGCTATGCTGCATATCCTTAAAACAGTCAGCTCATTAATTAAAAAGTATATAACTGGAAAATATGTTACCTATATCAACAAGGTTACTCTTAGCACTTTCTAGCCTGCACTAAAGAACCGATTCATGAATCGAATCTTTGGTTCACTTGCTGAGTCGGCTGACAAGCAAGTGCACCGACGTGCCATCAGGTGTGACAGTAAAAAGCGGGTTATTGTGGATGCGCTCCGCTTTCTAATGAGCTGATGTCACATTGGTCAGATTTGTCCCTAGTCTTTACAGCGCAATAACGATTGGATTTACTACCACGGGTACTGCATCGATAGTACTAAAATCCTCTCATTATTCCCACCCATGCGCTGTAAAGACAAGGGACAAATCTGACTACCACTGAACATCACTTCATCAGAATGAGGAGCACATGCGCAGGAACACGCTTTTTTACTGTCAGCTGATCGTGCGTCACTAGCAGTGATGACATTGGGTGATATGATAGAATGGCTGGTCTGACATAAAACCAAATATGTGACCTGTCTGAGCCAAGACACTGATCACTAGAACAATCCCCAGGAGCTGCCCCCCTTCTCTGAATCAGAGTCTTCTGATTCAGATCTTTTATGAAGAGTCAGCCAGCTCCTGAGCTTCGGTTCACTTGCGACTCAGCAAGTGAGCCGTTGGATATGGATGTCACCAGCACTCCAGAAACGACAAAATAACAAAAGATTTTAGTGAATCTTCATTTTATTCACTCGAAAGGAATCAAGCGCTTTCGGGGCCGCACAGGGTCCCCTTCATCAGGCTTAAAGTGAGCCGACTCAGCAAGTGAACCGAAGAGCCGATTCATTTGAAGATCCGAACTTCTCATCTGACTCACGAGTCTTAGACTCCATGTACTGTGAGTCAGAGCTGTTAGAGGGTTGTAGCTAGTTCAGAGATGTGATTGGTTGCAGGGAGGGGGTGGGCGGGGCTGGCAGAAGCTGAGCTCTGCTCTAGAATCACATTACAATGCCGATCTCCTATTCAACACTGAGCTGCTTCAAACGGATCAGCTCACTCAGAGGAGTTGATTCATCCGGTTCACTGAAGAGAATCAATTTTACAATAGTCTTTTACAATGGTAGAAATGACCTTGCATAACACTTGCCATAATTAACTTATGGGAAAATTGACTTTTTTGTATGTTGGATTGCGCTAGGTGTATTGGGTGCATAGGTGCATTGGCGTGTCATTAAAAATGAATAGTACCACACTGCACATAACAGGTTGGTGCAAGTCAGGCATTTTCCTTGCACATTACTGTAACACAATAGTGTGAATGGGCCACTAAGCTTACTTGGTATCCCCTTTACTAACCAGTTTGCCTCTTATGGACCTGAGCAGCTATGGACCTATAGTTTGGGCAATCATTTTGTCATTACATATTTTGTGTTCTATTTCTTTTTTTGTTGGAGGGTAAATGCTTTCTTTTATTGACATTGTCTTTCAATAATTTTTTGTGTGAAATCTGGTTATTAAGGGTAACATCTCTACTTCAATCGACTTTAGGTCCACCAGTCCTTCATGCTGCTTCCATTAGAAAATATGGTGGTCCAACCTCCAAACTATTTACCTTGCTCCTGGAGAGGCATTCTCAAGAGTCTGGCCAGCACTGATTATCTACCTCTACCTCAGGAGAGAGTTAAGTATGTGGGGGGTTAGACCATTCAAAATATTTGCTCATAATAAATGCACTATAATATTGCTGCACTGGGCATGATGGGTTGTCTATTGTTATTGTAACTTTCCTGATGCCATTACATATGTATCACGCTATGCTCACCTCAGTTGTATTTGTTATATTGCATGTTATTACATGTTAATTCTAGCTGGGATTCTTGAAATGCTATTTTATAGCATTGTGAACGACCCCCATTCCATTGACTTAAATGAAAAAAGACCAGCCAATAAACCAAAAATTTAGCAAGTGGGACTCTTATGAGAAATGCCTCAGTGCACAGCCTGTGAAGGTAATATAGCTGTGGGAGGGGCCCAGAAGGTTCACCCACTACTGGCCGCCTATAGAAAACAACAAGGTGAGACGGATACAAGACCAGTTACCCTGCACAAGGAGAGAGAACAGCAGTGACTAGTCTTTATATTAGGAAAGACCTGCATAGAGGAAAAGTGTAGGAGTTGCATTTTATGCTGAATTACCACACAGATCTGGGAGAAATACACATAGCACACCAAGATTCAAGTAAGAATACAAATGGCTCTTATTTATACAATATTCATTTAGCCAGACGTTCAGGCTTTAAAACTATGGATTTGGATAAGTCCATTCTTTTGCTTAAAAAATGCAACAAACAGAAAAAACTCTCTACTGTAAATACGCTCTTAAAGGTACCTTAGGAAATTCGCTAGCTCTGCCCATTATGGTCAGATCAGGTAATGTTCATATGTTTGTTGGCATTCCCTGATCCCCCCGACTCAACCTTCTCCTTTGGAGAGTCAATAAGCCAAGATTGATTTTTTTTCTAGTAGATCACTATTGTTTTTCTCAGACATGGGCATACATGTTTGCATATGACACAGAATATCAGACTGAACATGTGCTTTGCTCATGAAGGGCAAACCAACAGGTTTAGTTTAACCACAGCTAAACAAGCTGCAGATATTCATCTTCCTTTCACTCCTTTAAGAAAGGAATGTATGTAGGTAAACTTTTCCCACCTCATATGATACTGAGTTCTGACAATGTATGCACATTTAAATTTTATACTACTGTATATCACTTGCTGATAAATTGAGCAATGTTTTCAGAGAACCTCTGTGCAGAACAGCAGCTTTTTGCTTCTTGTTGGAAAGCGTTCATGCAGCTACAGCAGGAAGTGGATTATGGGTGTGAATGATTCCTTTCTTAATGATCAGAAGCATACATAATTAGAATAGCACTGAATGGGTTGGCTCAAGGCTTGCTTAATTAGAAAGGGTGCCATATTAAAGAAAATCTATCAGCCCTTTGAAAACTTTAAAAGTAAAGGTTAAGTCTTAAGGTTAAGAGCAGACACATCATGATATCCACTGCTACTAGCTAAAACCCTCCTATGTGAAACCATCTCCCTTTTAGAAATGTTTTTTTATTGGTAGAGGTGCTCCAGACACTGACCAAATGTATTTTTACACCCCCAGGCCTTATTGACATTAGCACACTGAAATAAGTGTTGATTTACTAAAGGAGTAGAAGCTGTTCACTTGGCAAAGTGAATGTTCACTTTACAAAATGTATGATCAGTTAGTTTAGCAAAGAAAGCAAAGATGTGTTGACTACCCAATCATGAACATACACTTTGCAAGGATAACATACTCTATTTCAACTCCACGGAGTCTCAAAATAAGTTTACAACACAGATGTCAATACAAAAACATCATTTATTGCTTGTGATGGGTCAAAAGCTTAAATAGACATTAATAATCATATAACCAAATAAATATATACAAATAAATTATTAGTTTTTACAAAAGATCACCAAGCATTACAACGTACAAAATTTGTGGGATATAAAACATTTTACATTCCTCTTGTTTCTATAAACTGGTACACACAACATTACGAAGAGAAAAAACAAAACAAATACATTCATTTTCAATTGTTCTTGACATGACAGTACATAGACAAAAATATACTTATAGAGCATATCAAGTTTCTGTCAGTCAATAGAAAAATAGTTGCTCAGTATAAATATTAACTAAGTTCAGCTACATAATTCACATCAATACTGATTGGCTAGATACAGTACTTAAAATGCCATGAACACTGACCCGCAGGATATAAATTATGGGAGCAGTAACAGCCAATAAGAGATTTGGCTCCATATTCTAACATGTACAACACTAGTCTGGTCCCCAACCAGTGACTGAAGTCATTGCTTTGTTATTGTCTCTTAGGTCTCTTAGCAAGTGCTCTGTAAATCTGACAAAACATGTGAGGTGATTGTCACGCAATCTGGCTAATTGTGGTCAGACTGGGAGAAAACCTCATGTCCCTGACCAGCAGCAGACATCCCCAGTCCAAAGACCTTTGAGCCAACAGAATTATTATTATTACATGTTTCGGAGTGCTATTTTTTCATTCTTTTTGTCTTGGTCACTTGCTATTCATAGAGGAGGTTTACAAGTTGACAAAAGTCAGTTATTTCACTTCAAGGTCAGTTCCCTTTTCTAAGCTTATGCATGGTTCTGTTAATATGACATACATGATAAAGCAATTAAATGCAAACATTGATCACAGCAGCTGACATATTTGCTGACATATTTGCTTCAGGCTGTAGACTTTGGTCCATAGGGCCCATATTTCCAAGATACTTGTGTAGGTTCACAGAGTTCAGGAGATATTTCTTCTGTTTACAGGGCCGGAGTAAGCTTTGCATTGAAGCTCATCTTTTTTATCAGTTAAATAGTCCGGTGCTCCTTAAGGTGTAGAAGTTTTGGCTCTATAAATGCAAAGAAAGTATATTGAAATGTTATGCATCTTTGGAGTTACAATTTCAGTATCTTTACATAACTGATTATTCCCATAACACATCCTAATTTTTTCACTTTCTTTTACCCATTGAAAGAGTAGTAATGCAAACCAGTTAAGGGAAATTATTTGCATGCCTCTTAACTAGCCTTGTAAAAAAAAAAAAAGATTTATCCTATCTCTTTACATAGCTTTCTGAGTACTACAAAGTTATAATGTACATATAATTTTAGAACATCATCTGCAAGTTCGTGATTATGGCCTGCTTGTTTTAATAAAGAAAGTGCCCTATGGCTCCTTCTGTTCATTTTATTTTTAAGGAAAGATAATGGGAGCAGAAAATATGTAAAAATGTACCAGTGCACAGGTACTGTTACATTAATACAGTAAAATATTATAAAGTTCATTAAATGATGTCCCTGCAATGCTTGCAGTGTGCTAACTTGTCTGTGGGCTAAATGAGGTCACACTTGGATCGAAACCAGTGTTTGGTGAAGGGTGTCTGGTGAAGGACATGAAAAGTCATGTCATAGTAAGAACAGGAGGCTGTTTTAATAAAAAGCATTAATACTTACGTATTTAAAAATCTTTCGATGATCCTTATGACCCATGGAGCTGTAGGCTCTAAACACACTTGCAGACCCCTTTTCATGGTGGCTCTGTTGGTTGAGAAAGCAACTATGTCAGACATTTTGGTTGACAAATTATATTATAATACAGTAATTATATGTGTTTCTAATATTAAACATAATTCAGAGTAGAATCACTTTTAATTATTTCATTTTATTTTTTTAGAATGGAATCTAAAATAGAAAGGATCACCTTAATATGCGGCAATTTAAGATATATGAATTTTCCATGTTCTATGAACATTCTGGCTGTGGTCAAACTGAACTATTTTTAGTATTGGTTTAAATACCAGCATACCAAATTGCTCCAAAAAAGCACATGATGGTCTCACTCTTGCCTGAGGAAGGAGTCCTGTGAGGCTCCAAAATGTTGCTTTGTCTCATGTGATGAATAAATGTGTTCTTTTTGAGCAACGTGGTGTGTTAATCATATTAGGACTGACCCAGAAGAAGTACACAGATTAGGAGTTCTAACTTTTGTCTGATTTTCTTTATCTGCATATTTATTCCTAGTCAGTAACACAAAGCATTTTTAAAAAAAGCAGATAATCAGCAAAACAGCCAAGCAACTAGAATTTTTAGAAGAGAGTCACTATTTGCATTTTTTGTATTTCTCTCATGACAGCTTTATTTTTTAAAACATTTTTTTCTTATGTATTTTAATATAAAAAACAACATTGAATAAAAGGAAGAATAAATAAATGTCTAAAAAATGATCAAATTTGCACAATGTATGTACGTACTATGATTTTGTTATATAGCTGTCACAATACTTACATCACTTCCACATGCTTGCAGTGTGGGCCTTTTGGGATCACCTCCAGGTTCAGGAAATGTCTGTGAGATATTGGCTTGCTCTCTGTTTTTACACATTGGCACCTAAGCTCTTGTGCTGATATAAGTGTCCTCCCTGAAAACAAAAACATTGATATATGAATATCACATGAACTATAGGAAAACACAGAAAAAGTAAACACATTGGAAAATGTAAATTGTTTAACAACCTAACAAAACATTTCTCTGTAGATGTTGCCAGTAAGACTTTGTTTTATTTGCCATTTACAGGTTTTCAAATCCAGGTTTAATCTAATTATATTCTAAGTCATTTATATAATAACCTTATGTGATAAAATAATGCTATGCTGCATATCCTTAAAACAGTCAGCTCATTAATTAAAAAGTATATAACTGGAAAATATGTTACCTATATCAACAAGGTTACTCTTAGCACTTTCTAGCCTGCACTAAAAATGAGATCTGAAATTTGCTTTGGCAACACAGAAACTTTCATTGCAGACATTTTTATGCATAAGAATTGTAAACCAAATCTTGCATGCAGCATGGAGGTTTTTCTTTTGAGTTTATTGCTTGCTTTGAATTCCCTAGCTGTGTGTCACAGTGATGGCAGAATTCTTACCTTGTGAGAGAGTAACACACATCAGGGAGACGGCCAGAACTGCAATCATAGTCATTGTGGCTTTCATTGTGTTCTTGTCAGTTTATGACTGAGCCTGTGGTTTTCAGCTGTGTCTGAAGAGTAGTGATCTTACAGCAGCGGCCGCTCACCCTTATATCCCAGCAGTGTTGCGAAAGAGGAATTTCCAGATTTGCCAGATCCTTTTTTGGATGAGTAATCAGTAAAAGTGTCACCACTATGCTAATGGATATAGCCTGGGGAAACCCAGCTTTTGGGAAAATCTTGAAGGAGCATGTTTGATCATGTGCAGATTTGTTTTTTCACATGCAGGACGTTTACTTTAGTAGTAGGCATATACGTTAATTATTGATTATATTTCAATGACAGACACCAGTTTGTGTATTTTTTGTGTATAAAAATTAACTTTTGACAATTATTGTATTTCTCATATGAATGTACTTTATTAAAATTAAGTATTATTATTATTATTCAGATGTGCATAGTGTCAACAGTGTGTGCAGAATACAAAATATCAAAAAACATTTCTTATTCTTCTTCAATATATATTAGATAGTAACAAAGTTTTTAGGAGCAACCACTTAATGTTTTGCTTCCTGTTTAATTTAAAAGTGTATACCCATACCATATATAAATATAATAGCCACTATTTATTTATTCTTGCAGAAGACAAAGTAGGGCTGGCCATACACTGTTATTTTTTTCCTGTCAGCCCCGCGACCTTAATTAGAAACTAACGTTTGGCAAAATATAAAAAAACATTCCTTATTCTTCTTCAATACATAATAGATAGTAACAACGTTTTTGTAGTTCGAGCCGACTACAAATCCCAGCAATACATTGCAAAGCACTGCACAATAATACCATCAGCTATAGAGGACTACAAGAAACTGTCACACGTCGGCTCAATAGATCGGGAAGTGAGCGAACACATACCGTCGCTCGCTCACTTCTCCATCATCTCCCTGCAGAGAGCCGTGACTGTCACTCACGGCTCCCTGCAGGGATTCCCCCCATCCCACTTCGATCCTCCAGCGTTGACTGGAGGAACAAACGGGGGAGGGGGAGGGTACAGCTGGCTGTGCCTCTAGATAGGCAGAGCCAGCTTTCAATCACAGCTGGCTGCGGCGCTCTCAGTATATAGTGAGCTGTAACTCACAGTATACTGAGCTTTGGGTCACAGGAGGACGCTAGTTTATGTCCTCCCGTGACCCTGAGGAGAACTATGGGGGAAACACTTACCCCATAGTTCTCTTTTAATAATGTTTTGCTTCCTGTTTAATTAAAAAGTGTATATACCCATACCATATATAAATATAATGGCGACTATTTTTTTTTTTGCAGAAGACATAGTACGGCTGGGCATACACTGTTAATTTTTTCCTGTCAGCCCTGCGACCTTAATTAGAAACAACACTAATTTTTTCTGTTTAGCGTGAGTAGGGGAATTCCCCTGCTGGACTTTTGTATTCTGATAGTGGTGGGGGTGCTGCTGTCAGAATACCCGAACAGTGACTACAGCTGATTGGCAGCACCACTGTTCAGCTAAAAATTTTCAGACCAGTTCCTTTGACAAAAGTCAATAGAAAAATCAACTTTTGTTGAACATAGGGGCACCGATGGTGCCACACACTGCTTGATATGGCCAGCTTAAAGTGTTTTTCCACTGTTGCAGTCAAATTGGAATAACACCTAATTTTTATTTGTCGTATGTTTCCATTCAGATAGCATAACTTAAAATAATTTTTTTAAAATTTCTGCTTACACTGTATGTTGAAGTGCTTTTTACTTCCAGCAAAATCCTACCTAATCTCTCCCCTATGTAATTGTAATACCGCCAACAGTTTGTGCAGCGCTTCACACTATAAAACAAGACAGAACAGTTACAATCCAATCCAAGATAAGATGGTTAGTAGGGCCCTGCATATTATGTTTTCTCAAATTAGCCCTCTGTATACTAATATATAAGGCCAGCACCAGAAGTGTATGAGGCATACACCAAGGGCCGGATTAACATAGGGGTGGGTAGAGCTCCCGCTCCAGGCCCGCCCCTACAAATAGGCCCAGCCGACCTGACCCAACCTGAATCACAGTTGGCCCGATGGCAATCCGGGCTGGCCGCGGCCCTTTATTCAGGGATATAAGAGGGCCCTCTGATGAGCCTGAGCAGAGAGCTGCATCTGCTGCGGTCGCCTCTGTCAGTTTCACTGACCATCTGGAGCCCACACTGACTGCCTGGAGCCCGCACTGACCGCCTGGAGCCTACACTGACAACATGGAGCCCGCACTGACCACCTGAAAGCCCATACAGACCATCTGGAGCCTGCACTGACCACCTGAATCCCACACTGACCACCTGAGAGCCCCATACTGACCACCTGAAAGCACATACTGGCCACCTGAGAGCCCATACTTACCACCTGGAGCCCACACTGACCACCTGGAGCTCGCACTGACCACCTGTAGTCCGTACTAACTACCTGGAGCATTCAATGACCACCTGGGAGCCTTCACTTACCACCTGGAGCCCGCACTGACCACCTGGAGCTCGCAATGACCACCTGGAGCCCGCACTGACCACCTGAGAGCCCTAATGACCACCTTGAGCTCGCACTGACCACCTGGAGCCCGCACTGACCACCTGAGAGCCCGCACTGGCCCTCATAGAGCCGCATTGGCTACCTAAGAACCTGAACAGCCTCCTGAGAGCCTGCTCAGCCCCCCTAAACCCCTACACAGCTCTCCTGAGACAATGGAGACATCAGGCCATGAACCCAGAGCAACACAGAGTATGTAGCTTCATATTACTCTGCATTGCTGTATAAAGTATTGCTGGGAATTGTAGTCCTCTATAGCTGATAGTATTATTCTGCAGTGCTTTATACTGTATTGCTGGGATTTGTAGTCCTCTATAGCTGATGGTATTATTGTGCAGTGCTTTGCAATGTATTGCTGGGATTGGTAGTCCTCTATGGTTGATGGTATTATTCTGCAGTGCTTTACAATGTAGTGCTGGGATTTGTAGTCCTCTATAGTTAGTGGTAATATTCGGAATTTGCTGTATAATTTATTGCTGGGATTTGTAGTCCTCTATATCTGGTGATATTCTCAATTTCTATGTAATGTATTACTGGTATTTGTAGTCCTCTATAGTGGGTGGTATTCTGCATTGCTGTATAATGTATTGCTAAGATTTCTAGTCTCTATACAGCTTGGAGTCAGTGGCAGATCTACCAGGGTCACAGCTGCAACTGGACCCTGGCGCTCCACCACTGACTCCGAGCTGTAGAGAGGCTACAAATTACAGCCTGGACAGGAGGAAAACCATTCCATAAAAAAGACCCCCCAAAGTCTTCAGCACCAGGCCCGTGATGCTCTTAATCCGGCCCTAATAGTTAGTGGTAATATTCTGCATTGCTGTATAATCTATTGCTGGGATTTGTAGTCCTCTATAGCTGGTGGTATTCAGAATTTCTGTGTAATGTATTACTGGGATTTGTAGTCCACTATAGTTGGCGGTATTTTGCATTGTTGTACTGTATAATGTATTGCTAAGATTTGTAGCCCCTCTACAGCTGGGAGTCAGTGGCAGATCTACCAGGGTCGCAGCTGCAACTGGGCCCTGGCGCTCCACTACTGACTCCAAGCTGTAGAGAGACTACAAATCACAGCCCAGACAGGAGGAAGAGGGCCCCAGAAACCGTCACCATTTCCATACAAAGGCCCACCAAAATCTTCAGCACCCAAGCCCTGTGATGCTCTTAATCTGGCCCTACATACATCCCCAACCCTCACCATAGGCTAAGCCAAGGCTCAAGATTTCCACTCGCCTGCTCGCATTTGGCGAGTAAAATAAGGTGAGGGCGAGTGGAAATTTGGGTCTCCAAGTACCGGTCCGCGGCTCAACTCCGGCCCGCGAGCCGGTACTATGTGGCCCACAGCCATCTGACATGTCAGGTACACGGTCGCAGACCGCGTACCTGACTTGCGGGAGAAGCTCCACGGCCTGCATCTGTGTCGGATGCAGACCGCAGAGCAGCTCCTGTTCGCTGGATGCGACGTCCTGTAGCCTTGTTTGTGAACAGGCTGAAAGTGTTACTGCCGTCCGATACCGTAAGAGCTCAGCTGGCCAGGCTGAGACCCGTCGGCGGAACGGGAGCGGGACTGCCGCTCTACAGTGGTTTAAAACCTGTCGGCAGTCGTTGTAAAAGTTCGTTTAGGGACGGCCACAGGACTGGAAGACAGTGTGGTCTGTCTAACTGAATGATGGGAATGTCAGTCGAGCAGTTTGGCTACGGTAGCCAAACTGCTCGATTTCTTGCGCTCCAGCCACAGGAGCCCTCTAGCTGTCACCACCATCCCTCCTCCATCACCAGGGACCAAACAAGATGCTACTCCAAGCCTATGGCAACATCCATAAAGTCCAGCTGCAGGAGCCGTTCGTGACCCAAGCTGACAGCACCATCCACCCTTCACCGGCAGGACATCACCACGTCCATCCAACAGTGAGTCCTTAATTGCAGATATCAACTTTAAGTATTACATCCTTTTTAAATAACGTAAATCCCTGGGTTGTAGCGCTCTTTTTCTGCCTTTTCACATCTATGAGGACAAGGGCCTCTTCCCCACAAGCCCTGGGGTGTTGGTTGTGGGGGTGCGGGCAGGGCGTAATCTTAAGGTTAATCCAGCGTTCCATTAAAAAGCACACAGTAAAAAAAGCTTGTCATCATCTAAAAGCAGTAAGTACCTATTGTATATAAGCTGCTGAAGTGAGAACTTTATTTCAGTTAGCAACTGATGAGATCCAGATAGAGAATACATGGTTTTGTACAAGGTGACGACAGGCCATCAAGTGTTGAGGGGAGTCTTTGCGCGATTCGCTGATTGCTATTGTTTTCCTCTAATATGCTCAAACCAGGCAGTACCTGAACATGCCTCCAATTTACTGCCCCATAAGCTTGAAGAATATCCAATCACAATCCATTTTTTTAGGTTATGATAGAGCGGGGAGCATTTGGAACCCCTATCAGGTTTTGTTTTGCGGTCTGGTTCCCAAAGGGGATATTAACTCTCTCTGTTTGTCCTGGT